AAAAATTATTATAATATTTTTTCCCCAATCCTTTTCCAAATAATGTATATATAAATTGTTTTCCATGTTTTTTCCTTTAGTTGAAAAATTAAAAACTTTGTTAAACTTGCTAAAAATATTTACATATATTTCGTTAAAGTTTCATTTTTTTGTTACTTTTATATCTTTTTGTTTATTGTAGGTTTTAGAAACCAGTTCAGATTGTATTTTACAATTTTTATGTAGTTTAGTGTTTCTTTGTCAGTGCTCAGTGGTGCAGGGTGAGAGGACAGTGCGGGCAACTTGAAGGGTCGAGTGGTTTGTGGTTGGTGAGTGAAGGAAACTCTGCAATGGGCAACGCGGCGCGACTGCGCCTCGGCTGCAACGGACCCGGCGTGAGACTCAAGGTGAATAGACATTCCTGCTCCGTTCGGTTGGATCAGACGGCGGAGATCATGTGGGCATCGTCCTCGTTGATGCGATCCTTGCATTTGCCATTGATTTCGATGGTGTGATTGGATTCCGTGTCGCTGGGCTCCTGTTCGCCGGGCTCCTCCTCSTCGCCATCGTCCTGGCTGGAGGAGGAGGCGGAGCAGTTGCCGTTCACTTCGAGCTCGGGCGATTCACGCTCCTCGTTCTCCTCGTAGATGACATCACAGCTGGTGGCCAGAGTCTTCGGCGGCGGCTTCTTGACCGCATTGCCTCGCTGCTGCTGCTGCTGCTGCTGCAGCTGCTGCTCGGCCATTTGATTCTGCATGTCGCGCAGCCGGTCCGTTAGAACAAACAGATCCCGTTCCTGGCTGTCGCAGCGCTGGCGCAGCTCGGCGATCTCGCGCAGGTCCTCGGGGCGCGGATCACGGCGCTCATAGCGCATGCGCATCTCCTCGAAGCTGCAAAAGGATTCGCGAATTGAGATTAGTGATGCGTGCAAGGCGTCTCGATCCGGAAGCAGCGACAAGACGAGACGACACGGCTAAGCGTAGGTTAAGCAGAGTTCAGCCCCAGACTGGGCTTACACACTTACAGATTGGTCAGGCAGCGGCACTTGCGATGCAGTTGCTCGATCTCGTTGGCGTTGCTAATGTCGCGTTTATCCAGCGCCGCCTTCTCAGCATCATAGGCGGCCTTCAGGTCCTTCAGATTGCGCTGATGCCGAAGCTCTACATCGCTGTACGTTTGTGAATGTTAGATTGAAGCAGAGACAGAGAGAGAGAGAGGGGGGAGACAGAAAGGGAGGTAGATAGAGAGGTATAGAGTGTGTGTGTAACAGAGGAGAAGACGAATATATAGCGTAAAAGAGAAAGTCAAAGTTATATATTCATTGACATAGACCAAAAATTGTTCATAGCAAAGCAGGCACAACTGATTGATTGATATGATATATAGCTAGATGTTTAATATATATATGTATATAGATAGACTTCGATACTTATGTGCTAGCTCTAAATGTTGTTCAAGAGATGACGATATTTGATATAGAGCACAGCAATTATATTGAACACTAAGCATGCTAAGGCAATCAATGGCGACATCGTCAGATACAGCACATAGATGCTGGGCGCATATGGACACGCCCACTTCGCAAGCAGACACAGGGCGCCCGCACCAATGCAGCTGTGTGTGAGTGTGTGTGAGTGTGTGTAGTGTATGTATATGTGTGTGTGTGTGTGTGTGTAAAAGAGAAACAAGAGACAAGTAAATGCATGAATTTGTTGGCAGGCAAATGAAAAATGAGAAATGTGGCAAACAAAAACAGTTGGAAGTCTATTGGCAGGCACTGTATATATRTATATAAATATCTATATATAYTSATATGGGTTTAGGCTCTAGTACAGTTAGCTGGGGTTACATTCGATTGCCTCGGAGCCAATTTACTCACTTGATTCGTTCCTCGGCAGCGGCCATTTTGGCGCGATGTCGCTCGACGAGCTCCTGAATCGCCTCATCCCGTTCGGTTTGCAGTTTCGCTTTTTGGCTCTCTGCAAAGATTATGGATGTAGCATATGCTTCTGTCTCCCTTAGCTAAATCTTACCCAGCTCCTTTCGATGCGTCTCAATCATGTCCTGCGTGGACAGCTGCAGCTCCTTGGCAAACTCCTCCTTGACTTGATCCAAACGTTCGCGGAACTTCTCCTCCATTTCCTCCTTTTCCGCTTCGAACTCCTTGCGCAGCTTCTCCTCCAGCTCCACGCGTCGATCCTCCTCGCGGCACATGGCATTCTGATACTCACGATCCGCACGATCCAGATGCATGCGCGTCTGCAGCAGCGCATTGTCCGAGCGCTCGCGCAGCGACAGGAAATCCTGCTTCTTCAGCTCCAAGTTCTGGGTCAGCTCTTCAATCTGGAGAGGATATCATTGGATTAGCTAATTCAAGAATAAGTATGTATTAGTTGCTTTGGCACCTCGGCACGCAGCTCCTCCTCGTTGGCCGTGTAGCGATTGGTCAGCGCACGCAGCTCCTCAATGTGCTCCGCCTGCAGCTTGTCCAATGCGTCGCGTCGCTCCTCCACGTAAACGGATTCCAGTTCATTGGTCAGTCTTGTCATCTCTGTGCTGTGGGGTGGAAGATTGTGAATACATAAATTATTAAGGATCCATCAAATTCAGTTGAGTAGATGAAAAATGGGTGGAAATATATGTGGCTCTATCAATTTCACTTGGAAGCGTGAAAAACGAGTGGAAATATATGCGGATTAGGATTAGGGTTTCAAATGACACAAATGGAATCTACCTTAAAGGAACCATTATATAATCTTAAGTTATACAATCTTAAAAATTACAACATTTTGTTTTTTTCAGAGAACAAAGAGAAAACTCTACTGGAATAATTGAATCTATGGTATAAACTAATAGTATGAGGATATATGACTAAATACAAAAACATACAATATTAATTGTTTAATGAAAAATTTTAATGAAGATTGAAAGAAAAGTAAATATGAAAAATCCTATGGATGAGAATCTATGTAAGATTATTCAGGGGAATTTCACAAGGAAAAGTGCTCTACCAGGGGAACTTCGATATTGAATAAATTTTAATCTAGATGGAGATCCTCTCTAAGATTTATAGAGTGCTAAGGTATGATATACGTTTTCTGAGTGAATTCCTTCAAGGAGACAAAGTGTTGAATATGATTAAATTATAGTTTAAGTAAACATAATTCACTTCATATATATTTATGTGAATTTATAAAAGAAAAGAAAAAAACCCTAACAATTGGGGAAAATAAGTGGATATACTTTTCCATGCGTAAACTTCTTTATATTATTATAGTAANATTTATTAAATAAAAATATATATATACAGTAGAATCCGGTTATAGCGACACTCAAGGGACCGTCGATTTTACGTCGCTATACCCGGAGGACGCTTTAACCAGAAAGAGTAAAATATATTTTTTTTTCCATTTTTTTTAACGGTTGCGATGTTCGTTAAAGCTTTTACTATGAAACAATTTAAATTTGTAATCAAAACAACCATTGTTTATAAACTTCTTTCAATAACATAGTTTGGAAACATTTTTGTGACGTCGACATTGTACCGTGTCTCTCTCCCTCTCTCTGTCTTAGCAGCATTTGTGGCGTTGCTACGCACTGATCAATACATACATGTATACATTTCTAACAGAGTCTTCTTATGCTGAAATTAGTTGTCATTATTTCGGTATTTTTTGTTATCACGTCGTAATCACCGGTGATTGACTCAAAACTATGAAAAAAATCGTCGGCATAAGCGGATTGTCGTTAAAAGCGGAGACGTACTAAGCGGAGGCTCTTTCATATAAGTTTGTATGGGGACGCTTTAAGCGGAGACGTTATAACCGGATTCTACTGTATTTATTAAAATAGTAAATAAAGTTTCAAATTGAATATTGTATGTATGAAGTGTTTTTTCCCTAAGCCAGTACAAATGTATAACTGACTTATAAACAAGCTTTCTCACTGAATTTACCTTACCAACTTGTTTACTTTGTTTACTTACTAAAGTTTATTCTCCCAAAAGGCGGCAGCTTCGTTGCGCACCTCATCGATGCGATAGATCATTTGACGCTCCTTATCATAAATGGCGCTGCAGAGTAAAGTTCACAGATTATCATACGCTTTCATTGAGAAGTATTCAAAAGATAGTTCGACTCACTTATCACACTGATATTTAATCTTGTGCACAGCTTCGATCTGTGTCTCCAGATTGCTGTTGGCCATTTCGAGTTCATCCTTCAGGTTATCGATGCGCTCCATGAGCGTCTGGATGGAGCGCTCCTGTTCGCTGACGACGCCGCTTAGCGACTTCACCTGTGCCTGGCAAATGCGCAAACTTTCCGCCTCCTTGCGACGTGATTGCAGCTCCAGTTCCAGCTCCTCGGCCTTGGCCGCTGCCTGTTTGCGTTCGTAATTGGATTTGTCCAGTTTGTCCTTCCACTGGCGCTGCATTTGCCGCATCTGCCACTCGCAGTCCGACATCAGGGTCTCCTCGCGTTCTGTCAATTATGAAAAGACACACGAAAATATTATAGACTAGAAGATATCCTGTATAAAGTATTATAGTTGAGTTTCTTATTGTATAAAAGGTGTATTCACTTTATGAAAATTGCATAGAAAGGCGGAATTTACAAAGTGATAAAGTCAAAGTGGAAATGAATAATGTAAGAGAGGGAAAAGATTGAAAGAAAAAGGATGGGAATGAGAATCAGATGAAAGTAAAATAGAAACTTGGAAAAAGAGATCGAGCGAGAGAGTGAGAGGGCGATAGAGAAAGAGAGAGGGAGCGGGAGGCAAGTAGGGAAAGGTAAACTGGAAAACAATAAAAGGCGGATGGAGCCCTGGAGAGAGACAACGAAGCTAGCAGTAGACGTAGGGCGGGATTGAAAGAGAGAGAATGGGAATCGAAGAAAAACTTAAAGAGTAAATGAAAAACCTCAACTTCTAATCATCTCTGAGACTAAGAAACAATCACTAAGAGAAAGGCAAAGAGAGTTTTTGATAAGGAAAGAGACAGAAAGTGAGATAAAACGACTAAACAATGAAAAATAATATAATGCTATAATATATAATCTATTTCCCATCAGCTTTAGTTCACGAGAAGGGTAAAGAGAAGCGATTGCTGTTCATTGACTTGAACTGAAATTTCGCCTCCACATCTACTGAGATATAGTTGCCTTTCAGTTCAGCCCACCCTTTGCCCTTCTAAGTGCTCGAGGGTATCTAAAAGCAATATTTGTTTTGCATGCAGGTGTGTGTGTAGCGTATTACAATGTGGGTCGCACCTCTGTTGTGTGTTCTTAGCAGCTCGAACTCGGTTTGCCACTTATCCTCACAGATTTTGCGCTCCGCCTCGGAATTCTCGAGTGCATTTTTGAGTATGCGTATTTGCTCCTCCAGCTCCTCACGTATTCTGTTCACCTCATCGGCCCACTTGGCCAGCTCAGCCTGAGCTGCAGCCAGCTGGGTCTGTAGTCCATTTGCCAGGCTCTGCGTCTGTTTGTACTTCTCGGTTAATTCGTTGTATTGCGCCTCCAAAGTATCTAAGATAACGAGTTTTTGTTTTGATTTTATTTCGAAATCAAATTGCCAACTACTCACTGTATTTGCGTCGGAATTCGTCTTCATCGTCGCTGAATTTGTGCCGCAGATGCATCTTTTCGTCCTCGAGCAGCTTCAGCTTCTTGCGCACATATTCATCGTCCTTTTGCGCGGCCGTCAGCTCTCCCTGGAGTCCTGCGAACAAATATGATGAAAGTGCGATCTCAGGGATTTGCTTAGTTCAACTCACTGTCCACATTCCATTGCTTCTGCGAGAGCTCCTGCTCCAGATTCTGTATCTTTAGCTGCATATCGCTCACTTTACTCTCCAGATTTTGAACATTTTTGTGCGCATCCTCGAGCTGTGAGCTAAAACGCGCCTTCTGCACCTTGAGCTCCTTTCTGCGAATGAATTTTGCAATAATTAAATACAAATTAGCAAAAGCCAGACAAATTAGTGTAAATATCTATAATACATATATAAATATGTATTTGTTGTCTCTCTATATAGGTTGCATATATTTTTAGTCAACAAATCTCTAGAAAATCCGAGTGAAAACAAAAAATGAGTCAGCTACGTGAGCAGCGCACGCACTCGTGTCTTATGTTAGATTTTTAACTAAGCCGCAATATAAATAAATAAATAATTATATTATTTAAGAAAGAAAAAAAATATATATATACACCCGCACCTGTATAGCTCACACTCACACATATACACATATATATTTATATATATATTTTGTATATGTTAACGACTTGACGCACTTGAATCGAAAGACTGAAATGAGGTGCAGAAAACATTGTGGGAATGCCTTCCCCACAGGCTAGCCATAATTTGCTAGCGACGACGCAGACAACGCAGACATGCGCATCTATTGTATTTAGTATTTCTTAGAGCTGATACCCTTTGAATGGGCCATAATGACACTGTGAGCTGGATTGTGTATGGCTTGAAAAGGGCTTTGACTGGATGGTCTATTGATGAGCTGTTTATCTAGATTGTTTATAGAGCAGCAGCTCACGTAGTAGGGGTGGATAGATATAATGGGATGAACAGCTGATAAGGCTGGGCAAACTTTATAAAGTTGCTGCGAAAAGCGATTCGAATAATACTCAATCACTTTAAACATTTGAAAGGGAAATTCAATTTTGTTTTTCATTTTGTTTCGCAGTTTTATAAATGTGAAGCAAAGTGAGCCTAAGTTTTTTATTATCAAGGTTTACTTAAAGCGCTGCACTATCGAAGAGCTAGTTATGTATCTCATGGCAGTTAAGTAAGGAAAACACCTATTTATGTTTTATAAGCTAGCAAAATCAGCTATATGTGCCTTGCGAACAATGAGAAAACTAGTGAAAGGTAAAAGTCTATCATAAAACTTTTGACTGAACAAAGTCTATCAAAAAGTTGAAAAGTTGGCATATGTTTATATCGAAACTAGGCCAGAAACAAAGCATGTGATATATATGTATCAGCTGGTATATGTTTTTCAAGTTATACATCATAAAAATTGATATAGAGCAAACTTATGTGGAATATGTTGCAGCTAAAATATATGTACATTAAATTCTCATTAAAGCTATCAATTTTGATTCTAGATTAAAAACAAATAACATAAAATGTACACAAAATTTTGCATAAAATATTAGCTTTCAATTATACATATATTTATATATTTATA